TCTGTTCTTGCATAGTTGAACATGCATTTGCTGTTAGATCAGCCATTCCACTCCTGTGTGCCACTCGAGAAAAATGAGAACTGATTTTCACACAAACACCCCTACGTGCATGTTTATTGCCGGAGGAGGCTCGGATGATCCTCACCTGGTAGGGGTGACCAGACTGTGGCCGTTCCCGTGACAGCGTCCTCCGAATGATGAGAAGGAATTGATAACCCTAACCCTAACCGTAACCCTAACCCTAACCACTAACCCTAACTCTAACCCTAGCCCTAACCCTAGCCTAGCCCTAACCTTAGCCCTAACCTGAACCCGACCGAACCCCAACCCCCACCCCCAACCCAACCCCAAACCCAACCCCAACCCTGAGTCTAACCCTTGAGTCTCACCCTGAATCTAATCCTAACCCTAACCCCTGAGTCTAACCCTGATTCTAACCCTGAGTCTAACCCCTAACCCTGCGTCTAACCCTTGAGTCTAACCCCTAACCATTACTCTATCCCTCACCCCTAACCCAAGTCTAACCCTGAGTCTAACCCTTAGTCTCATTCCTAACCCTGAGTCTAACCCCTGATTCTTTCACCTGAGTCTAACCCTAACCCTAACAACCCTAACCTAAGTCTAACCCTGAGTGTAACCCGAGTCTAACCCCTGAGATAACCCCTGAGTCTAACCCTAATCCTTGCTCTGGTTCTATCCCTAGCCCTAACCCTATGCTGTTCCCTAATGCATAACCTAACTTGTACCCTATCCCATACCTTACGCATACCCTGAACTTAACCTGTTCCCTAACTCCTATCATAGCCTGTACTCTAACCCTATTTCCTACCCTAATCCGCACCCTAACCCTTTCCCTAAGTCTCACTGGTACCCTCACACTGACCCTAACCCTAACCCATTCCCATAACCTACCCCTAATTTTGACCCTAATCCTAATCCTTAATCCTATTGTCTTGTAACAACCTAGCACTCTTCTGATTGTCAGATCCCACAAAGACGTAACAAAAACACATCAACTAGCCTATGAAATAGAATCCTCCACTTCCCTGTATATTACTACTTACCTGAAATTAACAGCACAATGGAAATGAGTATCCACCTCCTGCAAATGTCTTCAAAGCATATAATCCAGTTTTAACATTGTAACCAAGCAATGTCATAAATTATTACATAAAGCTAAGCAATTTGATAAACAACAATTGTACAATACAAAAAAATCACATCATCGCATCCACTTGATTCACCACAAGCTTTAAACAGATTCCACTCCTACTTCATGGCATAAACACTCGTGAAAATAGGACTAGGAACACATTATTCAGTATGATACAAAGCAGTATAAAAAATAAACAATAAATACCAATCATTGGGAACGAGGCCCAGAGATTTCCTTTCACCTCTGTTATTCACTATGGTGCAGGAAATTCCAGGCAAATCCGAGATGAAAGAGAATAAACATAAAATTGTTACATATAAAAGGACGTCTATTCACAGACACTGTTGACATCATTTTACAGATACATCTTGAAAGCATGAGCAGTTCATTCACTAGCTCAATTTTTAAACTGTGAGCAACTCAAGTACTTCAGCAAGTAGACAATACAAAGCATCAATGAATCAAAATTTGTCTACATGTACACATTAACAATGAATAATCTCAAGAATTTAAGAAAACTGTATTTTACATGATGTCAATATTACTAAAATAGTTGAGTCAGTTTAATCAAGGTACAAGACTAGTAAATTAAAATGGAAAAGACACCACTAAAAGAAATTAAATACAACCTTAAAAAAAAAGAGAAGACATCCCATGTTGGTAACAAAACTAAATATGGCATGAGTGCCCAAAGCGATCTAGGGAGACAATGTAATTTCTATGACAATTTTGGAATAAACACAGAAGTTGATTTTAACATTCATATATGATTTTAGGAACCCCAAAAATACAAAACAAACTTGAAAAGGGAAAACCAAAGATACAGCTTCATATTTTCAAATTTCATGTCAATACAAAGCAATATAAAAAATATGATATTGCCATAAAAATATAAATACAGAAAAATGGCAGTACA